ACTCACATCCACACCCACACCCACACCAATACCCCCCTCCCCCCGCACACACCCACACACACCCACACCCACCCACACCCAACCCTTTACACACCCAACCCCCTACACACCCACACCCACCCATCCACACCCAGTACATCCACATCCACACCCACACAGTCACAAAGATCCTCCTTACCTGTTAATATATCCTTGGAACCTGGCACCTCTTTTACAACTCCATCGTGGTTTTTGTTGAAGTCGCAATGTCAATACAGCTGGAAAGCAGAATGTCTCAATTTCTCATCCTCCCATGGAATAGAGGCAATATGTTTGATCACATGACTGCAAAGACCGCAGCTCTGTTGGCTGTCGTGTTCCTCATCGGTGGACACTGCAGTTTGATACTCTACATACATCTATTCGTGTGGAAAGTAATCATTTTATGTGTTGTTAATTACAGCTTAAACTGCTCTGATGATTACCTGTTCAAAAACAATTAATTGCAAATGAATCGACCACTTCCCACCTCTCCTATTGCGATTTTTTGGTTTATCACAATGTTATAATAATCATGTTATGATAGAATGTTATAATGACGTTGTTTATGATTATTTTAATGTCTTTAGATGCTCATCTATCTTAAACAAACACTTTTCACCTCGACATCGGGTGGTCGTCTTGGGCAATTTCATCTGCATTTTTTGTGTAATTTATATTTTCATAATTATTTTCTTATATTATGTTAGTTAACCTTATTTATTCGTAATTAAACACCATTTGCTTTTGGCTTTTCGAAAAACAAAAACAAAAACAGAACAACCACATACCATACAGACTATAATATGATTTCTTCAATATTATTATACCTGAAAATCTAAGTTCGACAGGAAGGCTTTCAGAAAGAGTATTATGTACTAAGGCCTAACTCGTTGATTTAATATTAATTCTTAATAATAATTAATGAATGCATAACCCAACAAGAAGACGATTGAGTAACAGTTGGAAAAAGGAAAGCCAAAAATAAATAAACGTATGAATAATCCCGAACGCTGTAACACGTGAAAACAATCAATTGATCGATAACAGGTCTCCGTACGGGCTCGAAAGTATCAGAAATCACTATCTGAATTTCCCCCCCGTCGTCTCTCTTCCGTTCCTGGTGCTTTCGCCATGGCTGCAAATTCAAATGAAACTAATCCACAACAGAATAATAACACCGGCACCGGTACCGTTCCAGATTTTTCTTTGAATGTTTAGTCCTTTAGTGGGGGTATTCGCATACTTGCAATTGTACTGATTGCCTCGAAGTCGGTTTGCCGGACCATGCCACGGCGTCGATTCCTGTGAGCGAGTTGACTCACGCGTAAAACTAGAGCGTGCACGGGCGATGGGTGTGAGAGTGAGTGATGATAATATTAATTTGTGCCTCTCACATTTGGCGGAGGGAAAGGAGGGATGGGAAACTTAGTGAGGCTGGGGTGGGGTCGAGGAGAGAGTGTGGGGGTGCAAGGATGGAGAGGTTGGTGCTAGCTACTTGGGCTTTTGATTGGTGACGACATAATATTTGGTTTGGTGGTTTCATGACATTTATTGGGGACTTAGGTTGCTTCAGTGTTGCTCTTGATGTCTAAAGAGAGAGAGAGAGAGAGAGAGAGAGAGAGAGAGAGAGAGAGAGAGAGAGA